CTGTCCATATGCCAAGAGAGTGATCCTATTTATAAGAGAAATTAGATTGTAAACCTCAACAAATTGACCCTGTTTATAAGGAAAACTGAGCCGAAAACGATACTCCCTCTGTAAAGAAATTAGTGATCTAAAAGGTCTTATATTTCTTTACAGAGGGAGTACATAACAAGGAAAACACAGAACCCACGTACAAAGTTATAACAGAACACAAGGGTGAACCAAGAAAGCATAGTTGGTTGAGGGATGCAGCACAGGTTATGCCATAAGCATATACATGGAAACACAAGCAGAAGAGAGACTGACAAGGCAAGAAAATGCGGCAGAGGCAGCACGGAGGCAAATTCATCAGTCTCCGAGTACACCAACAACAGCAACGCTGAAACCACGGGCACAGGATAACGCAGGGATCCATCATCGAGGAACTGCACCAAAACCAGCCTCGAGCCATCCAACACCCAACATTAGGGTGGTCTTGCCCGTGGCAAGGTTGACGGAGGGGAAAACTTTGGCTCAATGATCATTCACAGAGAGAACAAATGGAGTAGCGAAGTGAATGCTCACAGAGAGTGCCTCAGAAGAAAATATCTCTACCAAGGCTGGACATAGACCATGATGGAGTGTAAATGGAGATCACACACAGCTTCAAGTTGACAAAAGTTAAGGATCCAAGCAGTGGCCGGACAAACAATTATAGGTAGTTCACTTGGCAAAAAGAGGAGATCTCTGGGTTGCTGAGTAGAAGAACATCACGAGGGGTAGCAAATGGCAGCACTACGGCACCAAAGGCACCGCCGCGAGACCCCAAAGGAACACCGCTGAAGAAGAGACACGGGGAAGCATTTGGCCGCTCAACAACACCAAACGGTGTCATTGCCAGCCCCGAAAAGATGTCACCACCGTTGAACCCCAGCTGGTTGCACCACCACCACCGAACACACCCCTCCAGCTCCACGCAGTAATGATAGCCGTCATTGGGGTCTCCAAGATGACGCCTCCAAAGAAGAAGTGATGTGAGGACACACCACCGTTATCCAATCAGGCAAGGTTGATCATAGGCTTTCACCCGGATACCACGAAACAAAAAAAAAAGAGGTTGCAACGAGCTCCACAACGGCACCTCCGCGAGGAAAACGATGTCCACAGATGCCTTTGCCGCCAGCATGGGCAGTTCCGATGCTGGGTTCACACCCGAAGCCTGTGCAGATCCCCACCGGCATGACAGCAACCGCACCTTCACATGCAGCCAGGATCCATCAGGCCCCCACCGCAGGATGTGAGCAGCCATCACAGAAACCAGATCAGTGCCGGCCGAAACCGAGGCCAGAACCACCGCCACCTCCCCCCTGCCATGCACCGCCAAGCTCCCAGCAGCGAGCCGCCACCATGCTGCTGAGTAGCAGCCACCACTGTGCCCTGAACAACCGCATCCGCCACTCCCCGAGCAGCGAGGAAGAAGGCGAAGCCAAGCCTTGGGCACCCAGCTGGCACGACTGAGGGCACTCCCCAAGCAGAAGGACCTGCCCGCAAGAGGCGACACTCACGTCGCCAATACCCCACGAGCCGTCTGAACTCACCATCGACGCCAGATCTGAGCAGAGCTGCGCCTGGATCCCTGACCCGTCCGGTCGGCGAGTACCAAAGCCAGCACCCGCCTTGCGTAGCCAATCCCGCCAGCCCCGTTCTGCACCAGCAAGCCGCAGTGTGACATCTTGGCTTAATAGGAATGATAGACTACTCATATCAACAAGGAATTCCTTATTTTCCAGGAGCCCATCTGCAAGGAACCTCAAAGTTAAGCGTGCTTGGCTTGGAGCAATTTAAGGATGGGTGACCGACCCGGAAGTTGACCCCTGGTGCGCATGAGTGAGGACAAAGTGCGCAGGAAAGACTAGTGTTGGTTTCTGCCGCCAGTCTAGATCGATCCCACTAGGTGTAACGGTTGGGAACCGGTGGTTGTGGCCGGGGCATTACACATAGGACCAGCCGGCGCCCGTTGCCAGTGTTAAGCTTCATGCATTAGCGAACGCAACCAAAAGTCTGGACTGATGGAAAGGGCTAGATAATCCACATATACACAAAACACCCCCTCTCACGTGTGATGTGGGGTGGCGGCGCAAAATCGGATCCGCACGAGTTGCACGTGCTAAAAAAATAACCTAAGCTCTAATACCATGTTAAGCTTCATGCACTAGCCAACACAACCAAAATTCCGAACTGATGGAAAGGGCTAGGCAATCCACATATACAGTTATACACTTCAACAGCCAGATCTGCCGCCGAATGAGACATAGCTTGATTCTGTTTGGATCTATGCAGGGCACAATAAGAATTCCGTTTTCTTATTTCCCTACTCCTGTTTGTCACTTCAGTTACTCCAGTTTACTTTGTCATTTGATGTTTGTTCCGTCATTATTGCAAAATATAGTGGAATCTGGCCACAGGGAGGTTCAATGGATTCCTTTTTTACTTCGTTTCTGTATTAAGGGAATTATATTCTACAGTTCTGATCAGCACCAGTCTCCTGATTTTGTTATGAATGATCCTGGTTTTCTCTTCCGTGTCCCATTCCATGAATACCTATTTAAAATAGTTCTTGTTCTTTATAGCTTGCTAACCTTGAAATCAGTGGTCATTCCAACTCTTCTATGGATACTGCCCGAGCAATGCGATCAATCATGGGGACAACATCTATGTGATCACACAACAGCTGTTGCCTTGTATTCGTTCTTACGTTCGGGGCTTGTCGAGATTTTCTATGTAAGTGCTCTTTATCGCCATTAGCATCCTCCAAGGGTGTTTTGCTTTAGACAAACATATAACGGCATGTCGATCTTTGCTCACCAATTTTGAGTTCTCCCCTTCAATTACAAGTTATTGGCTTTTGGCTTTGAATATATTGTCACATAAGTATTGATCAATGATCATTAACGACAATTCACTATTTTCGTCTCCAATGTATGCTGGAGAAGTAGGAACTGGCATTGGAGTTATTTTCAGCTGGTAGTTATCTTTCAATGATGCACGCAAATTTAATAGAACTTGAGGATCTGGTAACAAAGTTCGTGATGTGGCAGTACTGTTTCAAATGCAAAATGCTACTTGTCTTCAAGCCTCTTTTACATTTTCCCAGTGACATACTTGGTGTTATAAAAACCTAGATGAGAAACACCAACACGAGCTGTTTGTCCGATTCTATTATCATGTCCTTTGGTGCTCTACTGTTTGTGGTACCTTAGTATGTTCTGTCATTAAAATTCTCTTTTCCCCCCAAATATCATGCATCACTATTATTTGTGTTGCTTCTTATAATTGATGTACTCTTTCAGGTATTTTGGTTTTATCCCCTCTACATCTTCAGCTTTATAATAAGTACACTTTGGTATGCTGAGTCCCTCTCACTACTTGGTGGCTTACTTCCCTTATTTGTGAAACTGTTGATTTCTTTTCCTTTGAAGAGTAGACCCTTGTTCCAGTTCATAAGGGAATCATGTAGCAGCAGCGGTTAATATGCTTTTCAATTTTGTTATAAGTAAATTGTAAAATAAATGTGTTATAAGTATTGAGTTTATGATTGTATATAATATATGTATCAAACCTCAATGAAATGGTTTTGGTTGACACTTTCAAATTTAGTTTCAGAAATTTCTGGATTTCCAAATTTCTATTACTGATATGGTAATGATATATGCTGCAGCAACTATGTCTTCAAACTTCAATATGCCAGCAAGCCACTTTAGAGCCTTGGTACACTCACGTCAAAATTTGTTTCATTTCAATGCACCATGCCACGAGTTCCGGAAAATTATTTCGTCATCTGATTGATGGTTTTATGACTATTTTCATTTAAGAACAGTGCTTACTTGTGCATATGTTTGTTACTGAATCTGGGAGATGTAGCTAAAAGCTGTTCAACTTATGCTTTTTAATCTTATGTGTATTGTATATGTTGCGCTCATATGGTTTCCACACCACAAAAAGTAAACTGAAAATAAGTTAACTTGTATTTTGTTGGAGGTTTATTTAGATTTCTTTTTTCTGTGGAAAATCCAGTTCTTGATTTTTATGCCATCTTTTGTTGTTACAGGTACGAAACCTTGTTTTACTATCCTCAAGATAAACATGTTTCAGATGCTAAACAAGGGAATATCCATTACCTTTTTGTGATCTTGACCATCTTACGGTAGGTATGGTGACATTGCTAAGCATGCTTTGGCTGTTGTGAAAAGTAAGAAGCTGGATGCAAGTCAAGCATCTGACTCTGACCCTCACAGCACATCTGTATCAGCAGATAGGCCTGAAGGATTTGATGGGTGTGTTCACATTTAAACTTGTTGGCACCTGGTTGGATTTTACATGCTTCGTGTGCTAACACTTTGTTGTTAGGGTTGCGATTGGTGTTGGAGAGCAGGTCTATTCGATACTTCTTTTGACTATTTTCTTTGCTGAGGTATTTGTTCTATGCTCATGTTTGCTTAATCTTCATTTCTCACCGGACACCTAATTTCATTAACCATGTTTTATACATTTTGTATCTCCTGCTTATTTGAGCTTACATGGTGCTATTTTTCGTAGTACCTGCATTTTTCTTATGTTCTAGATGTCATGCAGGTTACAGTGATTGGTTACATACCTTACCTTGGTAAGGCAATGAACTTCATGTTACTGTCTTTGATGTATGCCTACTACTGCTTCGAGTATGTACATCTGAATGCCTTTTATCACCCATTCAACCTTCTCCTCAAGTGCTATACAGAAAGGTTACTTTATTACCTTGTAAAGTTTGCCAACTCATTTTGTCAGGTACAAGTGGAACTTCTTTGCAGTGAGCCTGAACCACCGGCTTGATTTCTTTGAGTCAAATTGGGCTTTCTTTGCCGGATTTGGTATGTGCATTGTTGTCATCATATGGTGCAAAATACGTGTTTCATCTTCTTACTAGAGTTAGGCAAATGTAGCTGTGTAAAAGGAACCTTTTGCTTTCCCGGTAGTTACTCCTGCCAAAGTCGTTTTGCAGCTGTATGCATGGGTTCTTGACTTCATGGTAAGAACCTCATGCTTCAGTACTTCCGGTTTGATATACATTTTTTTGGTGGTCAAGGAATCTTCTCCAAACTTGAATGGACATGCACATCTCTGATAGGTTCCCTGCTATTCCCAAGGCACATATTCCTTGTGCAGTTTAAAGAACTTGCATCCTATTCCACATGAGATGTTCAATGAACACCTATTGTAACCGAGCGTTGTTTTTTAATTTTAGCTTACGTTTTATTTCTTACAAAACTAGCTTACTATTGTCATGTTGTTCATTACGCTTATTACTCTTTAAGAGCTCATATGCTGCTAGCTGATATTTCCACAATTCTGATATGATCTCTGGTGCCGTATTGCTTCCTCAGGTAGTCCATGTGTACTTCCGATTTTCTTCTTCTCTCCTCTTACAAGTTATGGTGTGATGGCAATACTATACCCACTGGTATGGACAAGCACTTTCTAAAAGCGGGTGTTGCTCTGGTCATTTGATGGCTTCTAAGACTTTGCGATAATGTCTTTCTCATTTCTAGCAAAAAGACTGTTCTCACTATGCATTTTTCTTTCTTTGCACAATGAACACAATAAAGTCTAGGCACCAAAATCAATGTCATAGTAGCCATTTTCACTTGGCATGATTTTTTTTATAGCTGAAAGAAGGAGACAAGCTCACATCAATCATTTGTAGTACTTATATCCAATACCCAAGTTTTCTTTGTTGCCAATTTGTGCTCATCCCCTGGCCTGGAGCATGATTACTTAGATATATAATTTCTTCTTCTTTCAATGCTACATTTTCTCACGTGTTCATATTATGAGGCTCTATGGATGACCTAGCGATTCCATTCCTTTCATAGTGTTATAAGTGTGTGTGACTGCTTGTTTTGTATTTCATGATGTAAAACCCATGCAGCAAATCCTTAGTCCAACTTTACAATATTATTTTTTGCAGTTTGTCATGACAGCTGCTGGTACACAAGAAGAGCAAACCATTGATGAACTGAAATCTTTGCATGGAGGGAAACTGAATAGAATACCCTTGTTCTTTGTCGCGAAGCGACTAACGTAAGCACTCTTCACATCCTTGATAGACACAAATAGCTGTTTGTGCTACTTGAGACTTTAATAGATTGCAGAAGTGTAACAAAGTGTGCCGCCTTTCTGGTGATAATGAATTCTCCCTCCGTTCCAAAATAGATTACCGAGAAAGTTTGATTGCGAAACTATTCTCACATAATAAAGCTAATATTACCATTGTTCCTCACCAATCAAAATACTCCCTCTGTTCCATAATGTAATGCGTATAGATTTTAAACATATACAATTTGAAAATATATACAATTCTAAACATATACAATTTGAAAATATAACTGATGATGTATCCAGTGATATGCATTTGGTATGTTAAATGTACATATTTTTGTCTACAAACATGGTCAAAGTTTGTAATGTTTGACTTTTGGAAAAATCTATACACACTACACTATGGAACGGAGGGAGTATATCTTTACTAATTAATTCTGAAAGTAGAGAAGTTTGACTCAGCACTATCTAAAGTGTCATCTACATTGGGAACGGATGATTGATGCTAGGCCTTCAATTTGCTCTACTTATTTATTCGATTACAGTCCTACTCTTATGGAGATGAAACCCAAAAGATTTTCGTTGGGGCGTAACCCTCTCAGCGATGCGCTACATCGGAACCCGGGTGTGGTGAAAAATGGGCAAGGGCCGGGCCGTCACCCCTAAGGTGGCGCGCTGTATCTTGATCCGGATACGGTGGCAAGTGAGCGAGGATCGGGTCGTCGCATCCTTAGTGGCGCGCTACATCGGCGCCCGGATGTAGTGGAAAATGGGCAAGGGTCTTCGCATTTGACTCGATGAGTGCGAAGGGTAAGGAAGCTAGCCGAGCCTAGGAGGATTCGCTTAGGTAGCTGGAACGTAGGGTCTCTGACAGGGAAGCTTCGGGAGCTAGTTGATGCAGCGGTGAGGAGAGGTGTTGATATTCTTTGCGTCCAAGAAACCAAATGGAGAGGACAGAAGGCGAAGGAGGTGGAGGATACCGGCTTCAAGCTGTGGTACACAGGGACGGCTGCAAACAGAAATGGCGTAGGCATCTTGATCAACAAGAGCCTCAAGTATGGAGTGGTAGACGTCAAGAGACGTGGGGACCGGATTATCCTGGTCAAGCTGGTAGTTGAGGACTTGGTTCTCAATGTTATCAGCGTGTATGCCCCGCAAGTAGGCCACAATGGGAACACCAAGAGGGAGTTCTGGGAAGGCCTGGAAGACATGGTTAGGAGTGTACCGATTGGTGAGAAGCTCTTCATAGGAGGAGACCTCAATGGCCACGTGGGTACATCTAACACAGGTTTTGAAGGGGCGCACGGGGGCTTTGGCTATGGCATCAGGAATCAAGAAGGAGAAGATGTCTTAAGCTTTGCTCTAGCCTACAACATGATTGTAGCTAACACCCTCTTTAGAAAGAAAGAATCACATCTGGTGACTTTTAGTAGTGGCCAACACTCTAGCCAGATTGATTTCATCCTCTCGAGAAGAGAAGATAGGCGTGCGTGCCTAGACTGTAAGGTGATACCTGGAGAAAGTGTTGTACCCCAGCATAAGTTGGTGGTTGCTGACTTTCGCTTTCGGATTCGTGTCCAGCGGGATAAGCGTGCCAAAATCGCTAGAACGAAGTGGTGGAAGCTCAAGGGGGAGGTAGCTCTAGCGTTCAAGGAGAGGGTCATTAATGAGGGCCCTTGGGAGGAAGGAGGAGATGCGAACAATGTGTGGACGGAGATGGCGACTTGCATTCGTAAGGTAGCCTCGGAGGAGCTTGGAGTGTCCAGGGGAAGGAGAAGCGAAGATAAGGATACCTGGTGGTGGAATGATGATGTCCAGAAGGCGATTAAAGAGAAGAAAGATTGCTTCAAACGCCTATACCTGGATAGGAGTGCAGACAACATAGAGAAGTACAAGATGGCGAAGAAGGCTGCAAAGCGAGCTGTTGGTGAAGCAAGGGGTCGGGCATATGAGGACCTCTACCAACGGTTAGGCACGGAGGAAGGTGAAAGGGACATCTATAAGATGGTCAAGATCCGAGAGAGGAAGACGAGGGATATTGGCCAAGTCAAATGCATCAAGGACGGAGCAGGCCAACTCTTGGTGAAGGACGAGGAGATTAAGCATAGATGGCGGGAGTACTTCGACAAGCTGTTCAATGGGGAGAATGAGAGTTCTACCATTGAACTGAACGACTCCTTTGATGAGACCAACATGCGTTTTGTGCGGCGAATCCAGGAGTCTGAGGTCAAGGAGGCTTTAGAAAGGATGAAAGGAGGCAAGGCGATGGGCCCTGATTGTATCCCCATTGAGGTGTGGAAAGGTTTCGGGGACATAGCGATAGTATGGCTAACCAAGCTTTTCAACCTCATTTTTCAGGAAACAAGATGCCAGAAGAATGGAGACGGAGTATATTAGTACCAATCTTCAAGAACAAGGGGGATGTTCAGAGTTGTACTAATTACCGTGGAATTAAGCTGATGAGCCATACAATGAAGCTATGGGAGAGAGTCATTGAGCACCGCTTAAGAAGAATGACAAGCATGACCAAAAATCAGTTTGGTTTCATGCCTGGGAGGTCGACCATGAAAGCCATTTTCTTGGTACGACAACTTATGAAGAGATATAGGGAGCAAAAGAAGGACTTGCATATGGTGTTCATTGACTTGGAGAAGGCCTATGATAAGATATCGCGGAATGTCATGTGGTGGGCCTTGGAGAAACACAAAGTCCCAGCAAAGTACATTACCCTCATCAAGGACATGTACGATAATGTTGTGACAAGTGTTCGAACAAGTGATGTCGACACTGATGACTTCCCGATTAAGATAGGACTGCATCAGGGGTCAGCTTTGAGCCCTTATCTTTTTGCATTGGTGATGGATGAGGTCACAAGGGATATACAAGGAGATATCCCATGGTGTATGCTCTTTACGGATGATGTGGTGCTAGTTGACGATAGTCGGACGGGGGTAAATAGGAAGTTAGAGTTATGGAGACAAACCTTGGAATCGAAAGGGTTTAGGCTTAGTAGAACTAAAACCGAGTACATGATGTGCGGTTTCAGTACTACTAGGTGTTAGGAGGAGGTTAGCCTTGATGGCCAGGTGGTACCTCAGAAGGACACCTTTCGGTATTTGGGGTCAATGCTGCAGGAGGATGGGGGTATTGATGAAAATGTGAACCATCGAATCAAAGCCGGATGGATGAAGTGGCGCCAAGCTTCTGGCATTCTCTGTGACAAGAGAGTGCCACAAAAGCTAAAAGGCAAGTTCTACAGGACGGCGGTTCGACCCGCAATGTTGTATGGGCTGAGTGTTGGCCGACTAAAAGGCGACATGTTCAACAGTTAGGTGTGGCGGAGATGCATATGTTGAGATGGATGTGTGGCCACACGAGGAAGGATCGAGTCCGGAATGATGATATACGAGATAGAGTTGGGGTAGCACCAATTGAAGAGAAGCTTGTCCAACATCGTCTGAGATGGTTTGGGCATATTCAGCGCAGGCCTCCAGAAGCTTCGGTGCATAGTGGACGGCTAAAGCGTGCGGAGAATGTCAAGAGAGGGCGGGGTAGACCGAATTTGACATGGGAGGAGTCCGTTAAGAGAGACCTGAAGGATTGGAGTATCACCAAAGAGTTAGCTATGGACAGGGGGTGCGTGGAAGCTTGCTATTCATGTGCCAGAGCCATGAGTTGGTTGCGAGATCTTATAGGTTTCACCTCTAGCCTACCCCAATTTGTTTGAGACTAAAGGCTTTGTTGTTATTGTTGTTGTAGTCCTACTCTTTCAAGTCTGAAGTACGCTTGGGTAGACTATACTGCGTATCATGTATTCGCAATCCCAGCTCAAAATTTATTTTCAAGCAGCACAATTGTTAGTTTCATTGGTACCTGGGCTGTCTAAACGTGTCTGAAACCGTGCATGCAGGACGCAAGCGCTGCAGTTGTTCCCAGAGGCACAAAAGGAGCAATGAGTGGTCCACATAATCACATGAACTCAGAGGTGCATAGTTCTCATGTTGAAGCTGCATCTGAGAGGTGCATAGTTCACGAGAAAGCGTGGCTGCTCATGTGTGCCACGCCCCAATGTAAATAGTCTGTACCATTGCCGCTGTACATATACATATATTGGGCCAATAAAAAAGAAACTATGGTTGTCCACGAGATACATGCTGCAATTGAAGAAGGAAATATACAAACATACTGTCTACAATGTTGATCAGCTGTCTGCCTTGGCGTAAAGTTCCTTTCTTTCTGTCCTGCTATTTGTCATTCCGTGCTCAATTATGCTCTCACGTATACAAAGTTGGGTCATCTATTTTGAAACGGAGGGAGTATTATTTTTTTGTGGGGTCCTTTCTTTCTGTCCTACTCCAATACACTTGTTCTCATGTACTCCCT